GAAGCTGATACAGGAGAATATTTGCAGCTGGGGTTGAAATGAGGGGTCCTGGATGCTCTCTGAGCTGTGGGGGGGGGGGCGTTTCTTGCAGACGTTTCACGACCCAACTAGGGAACGTCCTCAGTTCTATGACTGGTGCTGTCGATGGGAGCCCCGAGGATCCCTCATTCAGAGAAGCTGCTTACTCCGCGCGGGAAGGTTGGATGGTTGGAGCCCTGGAGGCATATCCCACGCTGGGGCGGGCGAGAGCCACCCAGTCCAAGCAGGGCCGGCATTGTAAAGCCGGAGTAAAGCTGCTGCTCCTTGCCTCCCCTCCCTGCCCCCCTTGAGCCACCTGCCATTCCTCCCCCCATTCTCCTGCCCTTCCCTTGACTCCTCCCTCCCTCCCCTCCCTCCCTGTGAAGGGACCCATTGTTCTTTCCAGGGCTGGGAGGTCAAACCTGCCTGAGCAATTAGTGCAAGACACTTCAACAACTTCCCCATTCTGTGGCAGCTGCCTTTTTCTGCACCCATCCTTCCCTGCCTAAAGAGACCCACCCACCCACCCCTTATCTTTAGATCAAAGGGGGGTCTCCAGCAGGGCCGGTTCGAGTGAACCGGGTGCTAATTTTACATCTGGTTAGCCAAACAGGTAGTTGCAATGGCTGCTGGCCCTGCCCATCCCTCCCCTCCCCTCCCCGGAGGCCCCACGTGGCCCATTTTGGATCCTGGGTGAGTGCAGGGCCCCCCTGGAGGCTCCAGAAGGCCAGAAACAGCCTCATTTCCAGCCCCCAGGGAGCCTCGGGAGCCCGGGGAGGGTGAAAATGCCCCCCCCCCGCCATGGTGCAGGAGGCTGACTAGGCCACACCCACCATGGCCACGCCCACCCAGCAACTGGGTAGAGAACTGGTGGCTAAATGTTCTGAAGGCAACCCCTCTTCTCCAAGCTTGGCCCCTTTAAACCTGGAGGACTTCAACTCCCAGAATTCCCCAGCCAGCTTTGCTCCGGGCTCAAAGGGGCCAAGAGACCCCCCTGCTTGGCTCAGAGAACGGGGTCAAGTCAAGAGCGGGTCTTTTCCCTCGGCATCCCAATAGGGGGCGCTGTAGCACCGAGCAATCGCCCAAGAGCAAAATCCATTGGGGGGGAAGGAGAAGAAGATCCAGGGAGGGCCCAAAGGCCTTCCAGACCAGGGACCTGCAGAGTTGGCAGCTTGGAAGCCTTGTGGACTTTGAGGGGAGGGGGAGGAAGAGGAGGGGAGGAGGAAGAGGAGGGGAGGAGGGAGGAGTGGGGGGGTCTCTTGGTTCCTCGGTGCTCTCTCAGCTAGAGGGTTGCAGACCTTTCACGACCCAGCCTGGTAACACCCTCAGTGCTAGAAGGGGGGAGGAGGGGGGGATTGCCGGCGTGGTCTCTTGAGGGCCCCCCTGCGCTGCCTTCTCTCCCTAGGGGTCTTCCTGATCCCCTACACCCTCATGCTGGTCTTCACGGGCCTTCCCCTCTTCCTGATGGAGCTCAGCCTGGGCCAATACGGGGCCACGGGGCCCGTCAGCGTCTGGAAGTGCTGCCCCCTCTTGAAAGGTAAGCCCCTCGGGGGCGGGGGGCCAGGGGTCCACCGGGTTCCAGTGGGGAGCCCCTCCGTCCGTGGGGGGCCAGAGGGAGGCTGGGGAGGAGCACTGGGCCTTGTAAGCAGGAGGCCCCAACTCAGCTTCTCTTCCCCGCTTCTGGTGGGGCTCAGGGGCCCCTGGGCTTCTTCTGGGGGGGCTGCGGTTGGGGCCCTGCCCGCCGGGAACCTGGGCCCTTCTGCTGGGGCTCACTCCGTGGGGGGTGAGTCCCCCCAACCGGGGAAGGAGAGCCGTGGAACCGAGCTGCTCCCCCTCCTGCACTCCCTCTGCAGGGATCGGAGTCGGGATGTTGGTGGTCTCCTCCCTGGTCTCCCTCTACTACAACGTCATCATTGCCTGGACCTTCTATTACCTGAGCATGTCCTTCCAGAGCCCCCTGCCCTGGTCCTGCGACGCCCCACCCAACCGGCCCCTCTGCCAGGCGCAGGTAGTGGCTGGGCCCCGGGGGGGGGAGCCAGAGCGGGAGGGGAGGCCGGGACCCCTCGGGGTTCACACCTCCTCTCTGGCTGAGGAGA